TAAAGTTGGACACTGATTGGCATGGTGACTGAGAACTGGAGATGGTTTCGAGCCTTTACTAATAGTGGCTGACTGTGGGAATTTGAATGAGGGTGGCCCCACAGGCCCATATATTTGAATGCTTGGTCCCCAGTTGGTAGAAGTGTTTGAGAAAGACTGGGAGGTATGGCCTTGTTGGAGGAGACATACCTCTGGGGGTGGGCTTTGAGGTTTCTAAAGCCTATACCATTTCCAGTTAGCTCTTTATCTGTCTTGTAGTTGTTGCCTTAAGGATGTAAGCTCTCAGCTACGACTTCACTGACATGCCTTCCTCCTTGCTGCCATGGTATTTGCCATGATGGTTATGAACTTTAGCCCTCTGGAACTGCAAGCCCTAATAAACTCTTCTATAAGTTACCTTGGTAATGGTGTCTCTTCACAGTGATGTAAAAGTAACCAAGACGTTGTCTCTAAACTATACAAGCAATATTGTGCTGAACCTCTGCTTCCCTCCGAGAGGCCTGGAATTTGCTAATAGAGATTACCTCTGTGCTTATCCCCTGGAGTAAGAATCCTGAGTACCGGATCCTTAATGAGCTAGTCTGGCTGACAATATTTGACACGTGTAACCGCAGCTCATTAGTGGAAGAATTAAGCATCCTGCATGACTCTGCTGAGAGAGAATCCTTTGAAGGAAGTGCCAGATTCTGACTCCTTTCTCCTCATATGCCTGGTCCTTTGCTCGTTGTACTTGATATCTGCTTTATAGGCCATAATAACTATGAGTGTGACTGTATGCTGTATCCTGGGCATCCCTGACCCACTCATCTGACCTGGAAGTGGTCCTGAAGACCCCATGACATGGAATAAAGAATTTTCCCACCTTGTTCCCTTCTCTCAAGACACAAAACATCAGCATTTAAGTGTGTAACTATTCCTGACAAAACTTGGTTTAACATAACAGAAGGTTTGCAAGTCTGTAAGATAAAATGTGGTCAGAGCTTCCCTAAATGAGTAACATCCAAGAAAATGGATGAAGAAGTGAGAAACGACTGACTTTGAAAATAGGCCCAAATTGATTTTAAAAGGTGGGGAGGGAGCTTGTTGTTAGACATATGGCTACTTTCAGCCTTCATCTCTGGGGCCAACCCAAAAGACTTGATGTGTCAACACAATTCCTAAAATCTAATGCTGGGCACGGGGTTCAGTAAATCACCTGTGCCCAGCTGTAGGTAGAGTTCTTCTGTCTCATCAGTCAGCTTTGTCCTGATAGTCAGCTCCCAAATAACCATATACTTATTATTAATTATAAATATTTGACCGATAGCTTAGGCTTGTTACTAACTAGCTCTTAAAACTCAAATTAGCTTGTATTTCTTATCTATGCTCTACCACCGCATGGCATGCTCATCTCCTGCTTCCTCTGTCTGCCTGGTGACTCTGCCCTCCTTCTTCCCCATTCTCTCAGTCTGGCTCGCCCACCTAACCTCTTTCTGCCTAGCTATTGGTCAGTCATTTCTTTATTAACAGTGAGAGCAGTACGTCTTCATAGTGTACCAAAGAATTATTCCTCAGCACCCAGATTCACTACAAGGAGTTGATCTTGAACTACCTACTGAACTTGGCCTTGTTTAAGCAACCACTCTGGGAAATGCTCCAATTGTGCCTATATAAATCATACCGTTGCTTTTGGTCTGAGAGAGTCTCCACAGGGGGCTGTTCTCCCTTGTGTATTCCCCCAATTCCAGGAACTTCCCAATGCAGTCATCCTTCTATATCTGTGGGTTCCACATTCATGGGTTCTACCAACTATAGATAGAAAATATTTGGAGAAATTGTATCTGCATTGAGCATCACAAACTCCCCCTTTGTCATTATTCCTTAAACAATACAGTATGGCATCTATTAACACAGCATTCACTTTGCATCAGGAATTCTAATAAGAAGAGATGGCTTAAAATATATGGAAAGAGCTAATTTCTGTGCAGATGCTATGGGATTTTATACAAGAACCTCGAGTAACCACAAGTGCTGTAACCAGTCTCCATTTTCTACTGAGGGAAGGGATGACTGTACTCCTATAGTCTGAAGTAATCCTTGACAGTTAGCTTGAGGACTAACCCACAGCCTTCCCTAACCTTGTCTGTAGGTACAGTGACCCCACCCAGCATTTGTCATGTCTCAAGTCCTTGCGCTTCCCCTATTAGCAGTGACCTCAAAGGTTGTGGATAAGGACTTGTAAATCATGTAGGTGTCACTGGACAGAAAACATTCCAGAAAACACCAAGGTGAACACATACTGCAAAGAAAAGGGAAAGAAAATCCAGCATGTTCGCAAAAAAGCTGAAGGTGTAAGGTGTCCTTTGCCACATTGAAACCAAAACCAAACCAAAACAAAAAATCCCAAACAAACGTTTTCCTAAGACTTAAAAAAAATATTTTGAGTATTTCTGCTTATGAATTAGTCTTCTGCTTCCATTACTAGAAGATATTTAAATCTTATCTATCACAGTAAATGAGTATTAACTTAAAATATCCTTTCTAAACACCTGACTTGAACCCTGGTCTCTGCAGCCTCGCTGCATTTGGTTGGCAACTGACCACACCTTTTCAGTTTCTTCTGCTTCATCTAAATTTGTTCATGCACCCTGTCTTCAAAATTCATCATCTTGTGGTCCCACCACAGTTGGGGTCTGTGTTGATGTCCAGTAGCCCATGTCTAGACCCCAACTTTGTGACCATGTTAGTGTTCAAGGGCTGTGCTACCACTGGGGCCATACCGGTTTGGGTTGCCAGCACTGTCACCTGGAGCCATGGTGTCATGCAGGCCAGGGATGCTGCTGAGGGCCATGTCTGGGTCCATGGTCCTACTGCAGCCAGGATCTGCGCTGATGCCTTCAGTTCCTGACACCGTTGAAAGCCATGCTAATGCCAGGGGTCAGAGTCACCACTGGGGGCCGTGTTGGTGTCTGGGGGCCATGCTGCCATGGGGGCCATGATGATCTGAGTGGTCTGTGCTGCCACCTGGGGCCATGGTGACATATGAGCCCAGGCTGCTGCCTGGGACCACGTTTGGGTCCATGTTCCTAATTCAGCTGGGGTCTGTATTGATGGCTATGGCCACCAGAGAGCACACAGATGCTCATGGTCTGGGTTGCAACCTGTGGCCAGGTGGGTTTCTGAGGACTATGTTCCTGCCAGGGCCATTCTGATTGGAGTGGCCTGTGCTGTATCCAGGGCCATGGTGTCATATGGACCAGGGCTGTTGCTGAAGGCCATGTCTTGTTTCTGGGCCCTATAGCAGCCAGGGTCTGCGTTGATGTCCGTGGCTACTGTTACCACCTAGAGCCATGAGGATGACCAGGATCTGATCAGCTACCTGAGACCACCTCAGTGTCCGAGGGCCATGTTGTCGCCAGGGCCATACTGACCTGGGTGATCTGTGCTGCCACAGGGGCCATGGTGACATCTGGGACAGAGCTGCTGCTGAGGGCCATGTCTGGGTCCATGGTACTGCTGCAGCTGGGGTCGGCGATGATCTCTATGGCTGGTGTTAGCACAGGGGGCCATAGGAAGCACATGTGTGGAAATCTGAGGGCTGTACTGTGCCAGCTCTGCTCTTCGCAGGCTCTGGGATCACTGGCCCTGCCCTCTGCTGGATACTGCAGCAGGACAGCTGGCTCCACCCGTCAGGGGAGAGTTGCCTCCCTTCTCCCTGACGAATGATGGCCACATCCCTCACCGTGGGCACGTGATTCACTTGGGCAGCACATTAGCACTGACCTTATCATTGGGATGCAGGTGAACCGACTCTGAGAGTGTGCGAGCAGGAGAGTTGACCCCGACCCTCTTAACTGCCATGTGGTGGCAATGGATGAGGGAGAGATGCCCTTCCCTGCTCACTCGCTGCCACCTGCAGCAGGTGAGAGAGCCGGCCCTGGGGTCATGAGGGTGACAGAACCAGCCCTGCCCTACACTGGCTGCAGCACACAGGAGAGCAGGCCCTGCACCCTGCCTGGACAGCACACTAGAGTTGACCCAGTTATCCATCCGAGTGCAGGTGAGCCAGCCCTGAGGATGTGAGAGCAGGAGATACACCCTTGCCCTGCCCCCTATGCCTGCTACATCAATTAGCACCTCTCCTGGGCTAAAGATCCTGTGTCGTGAGTGTGGGTATCCGGATCTGAGGACCTGAGAGCAGGAGAACTGGCCTTGCTTCTTGCTGTAAGCTGCATTGCGTGAGCCAGCCGGAGCAGTGCTGGAGAGCTCGCCCAGGGAGAGCTGGCAGACTGACAACCCAGCTACCACCCAGTCCCAGAGCCAGGCCGGTAAGTTAGCCCACTCCAGCATCCACTGCTTCTATGAACTGTTGGAGCAGGTGAAGGCGACGAACCTACAGATCCAAAACTGCAGGATCTCCACGACACAGGACAACAACAGGGTATCCAAGAGGAGCCCCAGAGGGAGCCCACTGTTGATAGTGCAGCAGAAGCCAGAGGTCTTGAGCCAGACCGATGACTCACGGCAATGAACACTGGCAAGTGGACATGAATAGACTAAAGGGTGAACTGTGGGACTCCCAAGGTCACACTACAGCCCCCACGACAAGAGACAAGATTCTTCTCCTCCCCCCCCCTTCTTTTTTGTTTGCTTTTTCTTTCAAATTTTCTTTTGTTTTGTGGGGGAGGTTGCAAGGGCAGAGGGCAGAAATCAGGGGACGGGGAGATAAGTGGGATCGGGAGCCATGATGTGAAATCCACAAAAAATAAATAAGTTTAAAAACTACTGAAAGCACAGAACAGGAAAAAAAATCAGCTTCTACCATTATCAAAAATTTTGGGGAGTCCCATCAGAGACACCACTTGTTACCCGAGAAACCAGAGTCCCCTCTTGTTCTTAGTCTCATTAATACATTAAGAATAAATTCAAATGCTTGGGGTTAGAGAGATAGCTCTGTTAAGAACACTGGTTGCTGAGGCAGAGGCAGGTGAATCTCCGTAAGTTTGACACCAGCCTGATCTATAGAGCTAGTTCCAGGCCAGCCAAGGATACACAAAGAAACCCTGTCTTGAAAAACAAAACAAAAAAGTACCAAAACAAAAAAAGAACACTCTTTACTGGGCGTTGGTGGCACATGCCTTTAATCCCAACACTCGAGAGGCAGAGGCAGGCAGATCTCAGTGAGTTCGAGGCCAGCTTGGAGTACAGAGCCATGACTGTTATATAGAGAAACCCTGTCTCAAAGACAAAACAAAACAAAAGAATGGACTTTAAAAAAAATCTCAAAGGCAATATTATTATCATTTAAAGGAAAATTCCCAGGGCAGGTAAGCTGTAAATATCAGGAGTTACCTGGAGGAGGAGGATGGGGATGAGAGAAAGTCTCGTGGTTTGATTTAAGCCACACAGTGGGAAGGGGAACTTTAGAGAAAGGAGCAGAGAACATATCTTTAGGCTCTGTCTAGCATCTGAAAGAACAAAGAGAAAGGGAAAGTTACACCTTTCTGGGCCAGGACTCGCTCAGAAAAGGCAGGCAGACCCAACAGAACCTCATGGCAGTTCATACAGACTGTGTTGGGGGGCAGCGGGCAAGAATTCTGGGAAGGAAAAGTACATAATCTCCTTAAAGGGCTAATGATTCCTCATACCTTCTAGCAAAGCTTAAGGCGGACCTGCCTTCCTGAGGAGCAGTCCCTTGGCCTAGTGATTGATCTGCTCAACCGAATTAAAGCTTGAGGGAGGAGATGGTGCCATGTCTCCTGTCAGAGGTGGATTCCACTCTTCACCGTAGCACTGTCATTTAAAAGGCACCTTGTCTTCCAGCCCTTTGGAACCTCACTAAGTTCAGGAACCCAGGAGACAGCATAAACTCCTTTCCATAAACCACTTATTCTCATTTATGGTTAAAATAAAGTTTTCTGGGGCCTGAGAAGCTACCAGACTTCTCCGCTGTGAGACTAGAAGCAATTTAAGATTCTAGTTAAGGCCCTTTCCATTGTCACCACCGTCCCCTACCAAAGATCACAAAAGAGTGAGCTTTAGATGTATTTGGGTTCGGTATACAGCTGTCTTGGATTGTTTACGTAAATACAAGAACAACAGCTCTTTAACTCCTAATGGCAATCAGAGGTCTTTACTCCACTTGGCAACATTATTTTTTTTTTATTTTTTTTCCTTTTTATTAACAATTTCCACCTCCTCCCCTCCTCCCATTTCCCTCCCCCTCCCTCCACTTTCCCTCCCCCTCCCTCTCCAGTGCAAAGAGCAGTCAAGTTTCCCTGCGCAGTGGGAAGTCCAAGGTCCTACCCACTCCATCCAGGCAACATTATTTTTGAGGTCTCCTTCATTTTAACAGAAACTAAAGACGGAGATTAAAGGCATCCTTGGTGTGTGTGGGGGGGTGGGTGGCTTGTTAAATTGCAGTCCACTCCCGACCCCAAGATTATTATTTTTATTTTTAGATTTATGTGTGTGAATGTGTTGCCTGTATGTATATATGTGTAGCACTTGCATGACTGATGCCCTCCGAGATCAGAATAGGACATCAGATCCCTTGGCACTGGAGTTACAGATGCCTGGGAGCCACTATGTACGTGCTAGGAACTGAACCCGGGTGTGCTGCAAGAGAAGCATGGGATCTTAAGCACTGAACCATCTCTCTAGCCCCAGACCCCAAGATTTCTGAGGAGTGCTGGTATGGGGCCTCAAGTCTGCATTTGTAACCATTTTCAGGCAAGTGCTAAAGCTATCTGTCTAGAGACCACAGGGGCAACAGCTAGATGAGGATCAGGGCCAGTTCTCTGAAAGCCCTGCTGAATCTCTGCACTACTCCAAATAGCCTTCCAGGCAGTTGGCTTATTCCCTTAAGGGCATGTAAAGGGTTTTTCTTCTGTGACATCTTGACAGGAAATAGAAATGGGAAGCAGAATTTGAATGCCCTCATTTTGCCCATCTTTGTAAGCTGGGTTTCTCTGTGAACAGCGCGTCCTCTTTAATAAGATCTAAATCTACTACTATTTTTGTTCCTGGGACAAGCGTTCATTTTGTCCAGCATTTATCCAGTTGCAGACTAGAGCAATAGTGTGCCGTTCATCCCACTCCGGTGGAGAGAAAAGTCAGAAGAATTTGATACATTACACTAGAGACAGACCCTGGACTACTCTACCCGTCAGGGGAGTGAATTGCTTAAGAACTAGAGAACCTTTGTCCATACTAAAAATTGGTGGAAAGACACTTTAGGTCACTTTTCCAGACGCTCTGGAGATGAGGATTCTTATGCAAGTGTTTTTTTTTTTTTTTTTTTAAAAGTTGGTGCTTAAGGAAATTGGACACGGAAGAGGCAGAAGATTTAGATGTGATTCAGACGAAAGGCCTAGCCTTAGCGGTACAGCCAAGAGCTCTGGAGTATGAGTTAGGACTCTGGTTGTCCTGACTTGGAGCCATAAAGCGAGGCTTTCGTAAGCCAGTCCCCAGCTCTTCAATGGACTTTAAGTAGCTGGAGATCAGTCTTCCAAAAATATGCTCTGGTCCAGACCGTTGGAAAAGCACACAGAAGCCAAGGGGTAGAAAAGCAGAACTGAGAAGAGATTCTAAGGGAGCTGAGTGGTGGCAGCTTCCACTATGTACCTCTGACGCGGTGCTAACACCAGAGGGGTTGTTTTCCAGAGGACCGAAAATGTATATTAAGCAAGTTAGAGGAAAGGGGTGCTGTCTCTGCAAGGGGGAGATAAGAGTGACCTGGAGACCAGGGAGCGAGGCTGAGAACTGGAGTGACTTCAGAGGGACGCCTCTTTCTTTGGGCCTTGGAGTCACATTTAGCACTCAGCTAAGGAATATTTCTTGCCTTGCAATGCCGTTGAGATACCCCCTGCTTGCCAGTCATCTTAAATACATCATAAGCTGTGTCTGCAGGGGTTTGTTTGTTTGTTTCTTTCTTTCTTTATTTATTTATTATAAAAAATTTCTGCCTCCTCCCTGCTTCCCATTTCCCTCCCCCTTCCCCCACTACCCTCCCTCTCCCTCTCCAGTCCAAAGAGCAGTCAGGGTTCCCTGCCCTGTGGGAAGTCCAAGGTCCTCCCCCTTCCATCCAGGTCTAGTAAGGTGAGCATCCAAACAGACTAGGCTCCCACAAAGCCAGTACGTGCAGTAGGATCAAAACCCAGTGCCATTGTCCTTGGCTTCTCAGTCAGCCCTCATTGTTCGCCATGTTCAGAGAGGCCGGTTTGATCCCATGCTTTTTCAGTCCCGGTCCAGTTGGCCTTGGTGAGCTCCCATTAGATAAGCCCCACCGTCTCAGTGGGTGGGTGCACTCCTCGCGGTCCTGACTTCTTTGCTCATGTTCTCCCTCCTTCTGCTCCTCATTTGGACCTTGGGAGCTCAGTCCGATGCTCCAATGTGAGTCTCTGTCTATATCTTCATCCATCGCCAGATAAAGGTTCTATGGTGATATGCAAGATATTCATCAGTGTGACTATAGGATAGGGCCAGTTCAGGCTCCCTCTCCTCAGCTGCCCAAGGAACTATCTGGGGACATCTCCCTGGACACCTGGGAACCCCTCTAGAGTCAAGTCTCTTGCCAACCCTAAAATGGCTCCTTAATTAAGATATATACTTCCTTGCTCCCAATCCACCCTTCCTCCATCCCAACCATCCCATTCCCCCAAGCTCTCCCCATCCTCCCCTTCTCACTTTTCTCTCCCCATCTCCCCTTACCCCCATCCCACCCTCACCCCCAAGTTCCCAATTTTTGCCTGACAATCTTGTTTACTTCCAATATCCAGGAGGATAATTATATGTTTTTCTTTGGGTTCACCTTCTTATTTAGCTTCTCTAGGATCATGAATTATAGACTCAATGTCCTTTAGTTATGACTAGAGTCCACTAATGAGTGAGTACCTACCATGTTCATCTTTTTGGGTCTGGGTAACCTCACTCAGGATAGTGTTTTCTATTTCCATCCATTTGCATGCAAAATTCAAGATGTCATTGTTTTTTTTTTTCCGCTGTGTAGTACTCTAATGTGTATATATTCCACACTTTCTTTATCCATTCTTCCATTGAGGGGCATCTAGGTTGTTTCCAGGTCCTGGCTATTACAAATAATGCTGCTATGAACATAGTTGAACAAATGCTTTTGTAGTATGATAGGGCATCTCTTGGGTATATTCCCAAGAGGTCTGCAGGGGTGTTAAGGGCATGGGCTGTTGGCATACCCTGTATCACCCTCCTCTGCCCTGTGCCAGCAAATTGACACATGAAGCAGGACATAGCCACAGGTGACGGCCCAGAGCGGGAGCTCCCAAAGCGGCGAAGGAAAAAGCAGGCAGCTGACTGGGAAACAGACAGATGCCAGGCCCCCTTTCTGCACAGACAATAGAGGAAAAGGCACGTGTGAAAAGAGAAGTAGGGACGTAGTGGTGGGGCTCCACTTACAGTGTAAATGTCATCCCAGATAGGAGAGGTTCTTACAAGAGCTGACACCTTCAGCCTTTGGCCCTGTGAAGACCAAATTGTTATAGAAACGGTGATGGCAAAAGGCATTAGCTCTCTAAGCCAGATGAATAGGTAATGAACAATCTTTCCAGAAAAATGTAGGCTAGGAGTCACATTTAGCTTTTATATCTGACAAAACTAAAATTATAGTTGGGGTTATCATTTTTTCTTAGCAATTTATTTTGACGATAATTTGGTATTAGACAGTGTTATATACTTAGTAACATTAGTCAGCCTTATTAAAATGGATCTGATGACACGATTTTTTTCTTTTAAAAATATTTTAAGTTTTTAACTTTTTTGAAAATGTTGGGTGACTAAATAGAATAAGAGATACTGTCTACGTGAATTTCTTTGAGCAAGGTAAAATAGTGATCCTTAATATACATATAATTTAACAAATAAATCTATAAATGTATAAAATTATATTTGTTTGAACTCTACTACTTTGTTTTATATTTGTAATATTCTCATATTTGGCTAATACATTTATATTTACCATTTAAAATAATCGCGCATAATTTTAGTGATTATCTACAAAATTATATACAGAAATATGCATGAATACAATTTTATTTTTTCTGAACAGTAAACGTAATTTCCGTTTTTCTCAATTACACAGGATAGTTCTTGTGAAAACATGTGCTAGATGGACTGGCTTAGGCACTAAAGTGTGGTGGCTAATGAAGAAGGCTTTCCCTTCCAGTCGTTGTTCCTGGAAACCCTTGTGAGGGGTCATGTGGACTAAGGCATGCCTTTGTGCCGCTCTTGAGACGCTCTCCTATCCTGTATGGCACGTAAACCCTAAGTGGGATCAAGCCTTGCTTTCTCCCTTTTCTCTTCACATTTATTTATTTCTGCATATATTTTCTGTGACAGGATCTTACTTAGTAGCTCAGGCTGGCCTTGAACTGGTGGCAGTCCTCCTGTCTCCGTCTCTGGTGTAGAGATTACAGCACGTGCTGTAAACATCCCACTCTGTAATTGTATCTTTAAAAAGTATGTTCATCTTAGAGCATTTGGGCTGCTATAACCTCCTACCCTGTGGAGCTTATAAACAACAAAACGTCTAAGGGCTGTGGTGGATAGGAAGTTAAGGATCCAGACACTGCAAGATTCAGGTCTGAGGAAAGCCCCCTTGCCCGTAGATAGCATCTCCTATCTGACTTTACATGGCAGACAGGGGAAGAAGCTCTTCAGAATTCCTTTAATAAGAACACCAGCCCACTCATTAGGGCTCCACTTTCGTGGCCTAACCGCATCCCAAAGGTCCATTCCCTAATTCCACCACACTGGTGGCCAGGATTTCAGCAGATAGTTGGAAGGACACACATAGTGTGTGTCCTTAGTGACCATCGATCGTGACGCTGGTTTGGTTTGCTCTGGATCCCGAGCCTGAGCGCTCTTTTCATTATGTCTCATAGATATGAATGGACACATCTTTGAACTGTTCAGTAACTTGTGATTTTCTTCTTTCCTGTGTTTCGAGGGTCCACTAACTGAGGTTCTCATGGACTGGAAGCCCCCCCCCCCCCGTGAGTAAAGCACTTAATTTTGGGACTAATTAGAAATGGGAGGTGGGGGTGGGGTGGGGGAGGTAGCATCTATGATTTCCAACATTCCTGTTAGACTAGCTACAATTTTTCATAGAAATGTTAGAAAACTTTCTCAGTTACTGTTCTACTGCTGTGGAGAGACACCATGATCAAGGCAATTCTTTTTTTTAATTAAATTTTTTAACACAATCTTTTCTCATTTTACATGACTATCCCCATTCCCACTCCCCCCACCCCACCCTCCATCCACTCCACACGTGGTGCAGATATACATTCAGGCAAATGCTTGAACATGTCAAATAAATAAATCTAAAAAATAGTAAAAGCGCTGCTCTTTCCTGCATTTGGATTGGTCAGCTGTGACACACATCCCTGTGTGTGCAACATTTACCTGGGCCCATATTACTGTTGCAGTCATGGGACTTTAGGGAGAAAGGAATCAATAACCTATCTCTCACTGCTGCTTGCTACATTATAAATAATAAAGTCCTGTCTCGACCCGATATTCTTTTGTCTTCTTTCAGCATCCATGAAACGATAGCAGGCTAACTTGTGTTAGCCCCTTCATGGTTCTATTTTGTGGAGCAGGGTCAAGACTGCGCGTTTATCTGTAGCTCAGGCAACCAGTCCTACCTCAGACTCTCGAATGCTGGCATTACAAGTGTGAGCTATCACATCTGGAACTTCATATTCTATTTTTTTTTACATTGATAGCATTTTATTTGGATCAGAAATTTAAATGTAAATAGGAATCCACAAATAACTGGAGGGAAACATTGGTAAATTCATGCAAAAATCTCAGGAGCCAAAAAAGGACTCGAGGCATAAAATACGATCTAGAATGACAAAGGAAAAACTCATACATATAGAAAACTTTATCATAAAAGTGGGCCACAATAAACTAACAAGACTTAATAGCAGAGGGGAAAAATAACAATTGTAGTAAATAGGTCTTTAAAATACTTTGCAAAGGTCTAATTCAAGTCAATAAGAAAACTGGACTAAATAGAGTCTTGGCAAAGGACATGAATACCAAAAAGCACATTCAAAATAATCCTGTGGAGAAAGTGCACGTTGGTTAAGAGAAATTATTGCACAGCCACAAGGCCCTGAGTTCAGATGCCAGCACCGTGGAGCTAATCAGCTGTGCTTTGCAGCACTCTGGAGACCCCTCCTGGGGCAGGAGCAGACAGGAGGCTCTCTGGGGCTGCCGTCTGTCAGCCTACTAGTTGAGAGGTAAGAAATATGGGGATAGGATCCTGGATAGAGACAAATTGTCACCACAATGGGGATCACTGGATGAAAACAAACAGATGCCACTAAATGGAAATTGGAAACAAAGATGAATTTATTTGCCTGTCTGAAAACAAAGGACACATCTCTCAAGCAAAACATTCTGCTTATTGTACCTGAATGGACTGGTTACAGAGCAAAGGGAGGAAGGACACCAAAACTGGCAGCACACTGAGGTTAGATCTGCTGGGCTCAGAGGCTGAGCTCAGTCCTTTGTAACTGCTCACTGGACCATGTCACTTCTTTCGAGTGCAGGCTCCACTCCTGGCGTTGTCCAGGATGCTCCCGTCTGCTCGCTGTCACTCTGGTGGCCACTGGAACCAGCGGGCTTGAAGGAGGCCAAATCTTTGTTGAAGAGCAACCGCGGAAGCCCAGCATGGTTTATGCCAGTGACATCACCGTCCCTTCGCTAATCTCTTTCAGAATGGACAGGCCGTGTTTCCACTTCTTAGGGCAAAAGGCAAACAAACATACATGTGCCCTTACAAAGGCAGACTTCATGTAGGCAGACTATCCTTAAGAGTTACAAAGGAACAAAACAAACAGCAAAATAACACCTGTGTCTGAATGATGGCAGCACCACTACCCACAGCAGCCAAAAGATGGCAACAGCCCAAACACAGATAAACAGGTCAGGCCATACACAGGGAATGTGCCAAAGAGGCTCCAAGTGCCGGTGCATAGTACAAGACGAATACACATCAAACACATGCCAGGCAAAAAGGCAGACACAAGATGTACAACGTTGTACCAAACACTGTATAAGTCATACACTATAAACACTAAGAACAATTAAATCTATAGGGCCACAAAGCAAAGTGGCTGGGGGGAGGGGAGGAAGCCTTCCCCCTTTGTGCCTAAGAGGCCCGGGACTTCTTTTGAAGTGCCGAGCATGGTTGGCATACAGACAGAGGGGCTGACTGCACAGCGCCGCCAATGTCATAAATGCGAAAGGATCACGGTAACGGAAATGTTACCTTGGTGTGGGTAACCCTACAGAACTGATCACCCCTTGACTCTCTCCTGTTTTGGATGTGAGCCTAGCCTTTAAGGGCCAGGCCATCTCTCCAGCCCAGCACACCTCGACTCTCTGAAGGGAACAGATCAAAAGAGATGGAGCAGTTCAGGTCATTGAAACAGGAAAACTGAAATGAGCTGAACAACTGGGGAAGGATAAACGGGGGTGGGGGGAGGAGGAGGGGGAGAGGGGAAAAAGGAAGGAAAAGGGGAGGAAGGGGGGAAGGGGAAGAGGGGGAGGGGGGAAGGGGAAGAGGTGGAGGAGAGGGTAGTGGGAGGGGGAGGAGGAGTAGGGGAGAGGAAGGGGGAGGAGGGGGGAAAGGGGAAGAGGTAGAGGGGGAGAGGAGGGGGAAGGGGGAGGATGGAGAAGAGGAGTAGGGGAGAGGAAGGGGGAGGAGGAGGAGGAGGGAGAGAAGGAGGGGGAGAAGGAGGAGGAGGGAGAGAAGGAGGGGGAGAAGGAGAAGGAGGACGACAGTCCACTTTACAGCTCAGAAGGCTGTGGGCACTGGAGAAGCAGAGCAGTAAATGTTATTTCCAAGTGCTTATTCCCTTGGTGCAAGTATCCTAGAATGTTCTAAAATAGGTAAATGGCCTCCCAAGGAGCACCACAGCAAGCCATCCCAGACTGCCTCTTCCAGGCCAGTGGCAGGGTCTGGAGGAGAGCTGGGGCTGGCCAGAGCCCCGAGTGCTGGGAAACCTTCCGAGGGCTGGGAGGGCCATAAACAAATCTGCCACCGACTCCCTTGCACAGGGTGCCTGTCTAGGGCGGACACATTTCAGTGTGACGACTTTCCTTTGTTCTGGTCTCCTTTGGGATTAGTTTTTCCAGCGGGCTCGCAGCAATCGCATTTCAGATGCTGCATGCAGGCCTTTTAAACTAAGAAGGACAAACTAAGTTCTCCTGAAAGACATTTCTCCTGGTTCACAAGTCAGTTCCTTACATATTAACAGGAAAATCATTTTTACAAATCTGTCACAAGGCACAACATGCACGAGCCTTGGGGACATCATGTCAAGTGAAAAAGACTGTCTGATATAATAGGCACCTCATGGTTCCACACATGTGAGGTACTGGGAGCACTCAGACTCCTGGAGGCATAAGCAGCCAGGGGTGGGGACAGGAAATGGGGGATTTTATGGTTTAGGGGTGCAGCGTTTCAGTCCCGAAAACAAATGAATTAGTTCTAGAAGCACGTGGCACAGCTTTGGGATTGTGCTTTCTAATACTGAGCTGTGACTATAAAATTGTTAAAACAGCCTCAACAGTGGTGGCGTAGGCATACCTTTAATCCCAGCACTCGGGGGGAGGCAGAGGCAGGAGGATTTCTGTAAACTTAAGACTGGCCTGGTCTACAGAGTGAGTTCCAGGACAGCCAGGGCTACACAGAAAAACCCTGTTTTTGCTGGGGAGGGGGGCGGGTAGGGGTGGTGAGAAAAAAAGCCATTGAAGACAAAACTCATTCCAAATTTTTTGTTAAAACAGCAAAATGTGTGTTTGTTTTTAATCATCATTTACAATAAGCCTCTCAATTATTGCTAAGTTATGAACTTAAAGTATATTGTTGCAATTAAAAAAACATATGAAGTTTATGTGCTTGGGAGTTTTGCCAGCATATATGCATGTGAACCATGTAGGTACCTGGTGCCCATGCAGCTAAGAAGAGGGCATCATATCCCCTGGCACTGGACTTCCAGTTGGTTGTGAGCCACCATGTCGGCACAAAGAACTAAACCCCGCTCTTCTGCAAGGCCACACATTTTCTTAAGCACTAAGCCATCGCTTGAGCTATTTTATTTTTCAATTCTATTTATGTGAGAGGGACACATGCATGTGTGTCCCCTCAGAGGCCAGAAAAGTGTCTGTCAGAATTTCTGGAGCTGGAGGTGACTGAAGTGGGGGCTGGAAAGCAAACTCCAGCCCTTGAAAGGGCGGCAAGTACTCTTAATTGTGGAGCCATTTGTCCAGCCCCTTATGACTGCACTTTGAATGTTTATCTAAATGACAATCTGGAATTACTAAAGATAACAAATTTCAGATGTGAATTCACACTGGGACACTACAATAAACACTCCTTTATCAAACACAAGGAGCAAAATAAGCAAAACAGTCCTAGGTTTTAAAATCCCTTCTCTGTTTCTACGCAAAACTTTGGGCATTGAGCTTTTTACTTTTGCATTTTAAGCAGTCACATACTGACACATTCCAAACACCAACAAAAAAATAAAAACTAGGAATGATTTAGCTCAATACTGGTACATTTTACAGAGAAGTAAGAGTCAGGACCTTGGGGGGTTTGGTTGCCCTCCCGTTCCTCTATCACTGGGTTCGCTAGCTGCATTCCCACGTGCAGAGGACCGAATGTCTGCTCTGGACACAGTCACTATGCGTGGTATGATTCGCACATGCACATTCTGGGTCTGCCCCTGCCTCTGCCCCTGCCGGACCATGATAGCAGAGACCTGGAAGCCCTGGGCCCGAACATTCTGCCTGTGGCTCTGTGGGGTGGAGCTCACCCGAAATACCACAGACCTCTGGGTCTGTTGAACCACTCTGGGCCCCTCACTGTTAAGGCGACTAGTTTGCTGATCTGGCAAGGACACCTGCTGAGGATTAGACCCTTGGGAGGAAGCTGCTGGCCCTGGCTGTGGCTGCTGGGGGACAGGGGCGCTGGGTGGTTGCAGCTGTTTTGGAATCAATACATATGTCTGCTGTGGAAATTGCAGTGGTCTCTGGGATGACATCTGAGAGTCTGTGTGCATAATGAGAGAGCCAGGGGGAGTCCTTACACTTATGGGATTTGCTGTATTATTTATAATGAGTCGCACAGGTGGCCTCACGGTGCGCTGTGCTGGCCTAGGTTCTCTGGTTGGAATGTGGCTATTATGACTGGTTCCCTCAGCAGCTGGGGCGCTAGTGAGGCGGACTGGGACCTGGGTTGAATTACCCACCATAGTAGACCTTACCAAACGGATCACGCGAACACGAGTGGTCCAAGTGGGGGGCTGGATCTTCGGGTTGTTTTCTGATGACCTAGCACTGGGTTGGCCAGCTGGAGGAACTCTGCTCATTCCCACAGTGGTCCGCTGAACCACCCTGACTGCTTGAGGAGCAGGAGGCGGGTCTCGCCTGGCCTCTGGTGTGACGGACCTGAGAGATGAGGGGCCCTGTCTCGAGATGGGGGCCAGTGACACCAGTAGAGGAATTTTGCTTTCCTTCTTTAAGGCTGACAATGACACTAGACTGGCTGTGGGCTTCTTCCCTGGGGTGGGCTGAGGAGGCCAGACTGAGCTACTAGGCGGCTTCTTCCCTGGGGTGGGCTGAGGAGGCCAGACTGAGCTACTAGGCGGCTTCTTCCCTGGGGTGGGCTGAGGAGGCCAGACTGAGCTACTAGGCCGCTTCTTCCCTGGGGTGGGCTGAGGAGGCCAGACTGAGCTACTAGGCCGCTTCTTCTCTGGGGTGGTCTGAGGAGGACAGACTGAGCTACTAGGCCGCTTCTTCCTTGGGGTGGGCTGAGGAGGACAGACTGAGCTACTAGGCCACTTCTTCTCTGGGGTGGTCTGAGGAGGACAGACTGAGCTACTAGGCCACTTCTTCCCTGGGGTGGGCTGAGGAGGCCAGACTGAGCTACTAGGCCACTTCTTCTCTGGGGTGGTCTGAGGAGGACAGACTGAGCTACTAGGCCGCTTCTTCCTTGGGGTGGGCTGAGGAGGACAGACTGAGCTACTAGGCCACTTCTTCTCTGGGGTGGTCTGAGGAGGACAGACTGAGCTACTAGGCCACTTCTTCCCTGGGGTGGGCTGAGGAGGCCAGACTGAGCTACTAGGCCACTTCTTCTCTGGGGTGGTCTGAGGAGGACAGACTGAGCTACTAGGCCACTTCTTCCCTGGGGTGGGCTGAGGAGGCCAGACTGAGCTACTAGGCCACTTCTTCTCTGGGGTGGTCTGAGGAGGACAGACTGAGCTACTAGGCCGCTTCTTCCTTGGGGTGGGCTGAGGAGGACAGACTGAGCTACTAGGCCACTTCTTCTCTGGGGTGGTCTGAGGAGGACAGACTGAGCTACTAGGCCACTTCTTCCCTGGGGTGGGCTGAGGAGGACAGACTGAGCTACTAGGCCACTTCTTCTCTGGGGTGGTCTGAGGAGGACAGACTGAGCTACTAGGCCGCTTCTTCCTTGGGGTGGGCTGAGGAGGACAGACTGAGCTACTAGGCCACTTCTTCTCTGGGGTGGGCTGAGGAGGACAGACTGAGCTACTAGGCCACTTCTTCCCTGGGGTGGGCTGAGGAGGCCAGACTGAGCTACTAGGCCACTTCTTCTCTGGGGTGGTCTGAGGAGGACAGACTGAGCTACTAGACCACTTCTTCCCTGGGGTGGGCTGAGGACAGACTGAGCTACAAGACCACTTCTTCCCTGGGGTGGGCTGAGGACAGACTGAGCTACTAGGCCACTTCTTCCCTGGGGTGGGCTGAGGAGGCCAGACTGAGCTACTAGGCCACTTCTTCTCTGGGGTGGGCTGAGGACAGACTGAGCTACTAGGCTGCTTCTTTTCTGGGGTGGGCTGAGGAGGCCAGACTGAGCTACTAGGCCACTTCTTCTCTGGGGTGGGCTGAGGACAGACTGAGCTACTAGGCCACTTCTTCCCTGGGGTGGGCTGAGGACAGACTGAGCTACTAGGCCACTTCTTCTCTGGGGTGGTCTGAGGAGGCCAGACTGAGCTACTAGGCCACTTCTTCCCTGGGGTGGGCTGAGGAGGCCAGACTGAGCTACTAGGCCACTTCTTCCCTGGGGTGGGCTGAGGACAGACTGAGCTACTAGGCCGCTTCTTCTCTGGGGTGGGCTGAGGACAGACTGAGCTACAAGACCACTTCTTCCCTGGGGTGGGCTGAGGAGGACAGACTGAGCTACTGGACCCCTGTGGCATCTTGCTGGGACAACTAGCTTGGCTCTGGACAGCCTCCTGGCACATAGGCACTGTCTTCCTTGGCTCAGTGTTTATCCCTGTCAGGAAATCATCTGAATAATCACCCAGGGCAACAGGAGGGAGAGACATGGCGTTAGCACTGCTGCCCTCTGGAAGTGGCTCTATTTCCTCATTGAGAAGCGTATTAAGGCACTCCATGATATCTTCATTCCTATCCCATAGCTGACTGTCATCCTCACAATCAAACATACAATCATATTTTACCTCAGGAATTGCTGAGATGGTTGGTTCAGTCTCATCAAAGGGCAGAGATAGCAACTCTTTAACAAAGCTCTCCAAGTCCATCTCTGAAGGCACAGTCAGTTCACAGGGACTCTGGTTGCATGTTTCTGTTCCATCAATCTGCAGGTCAGATGGGTTATCTGGACTTATTTTTGCCTGCTTTTTGCAAGGAGTGGTTGTCATTAAGTCAGGGGGACAAGAACACCCAGATGGTACCTCCTCTTGATCCAGAGAGGGGCATGCATGCCTCTTGAAGCATTGCCGCATGGGGTTAGTGTTCATCTTCTGCTCATTAAACAGCAATTTGTTGGCCGTGCAGGTGACAGCAACAGAAGGATCCAGACACAGTGGCTCTGCTGTAGCTAAGATCAGTTGGCTCTCAAGCTCCTGTTTTGCTTCCTGGGTCCACTGACTGCTGTCACTTGTCATGGACTCGACATCGCTTACTAGAGACTGCATCGTTGGACGTAAGAGAATATGCCGGACTTGGCAAGCAGGAGAGGACACAGCAGCCTCTGCAGCAGGCTCCTCGGGAGGGTAGATGTCACCACACTGCCTGTAGTCTCGGATTTCTGCTATGACACAGCCACTGTGAAAAACATTCACAGGAGACTTTTCCAGAATATCAATCAGAAAGGAAGGTAACTCTTCAGCATCCAAATATTCAAGCAGTTTCTGTCCTACATACGGCCCTGGATAGGGCTCTATAAGGACTCCATCTTTATCCTTGAGCATGAGAGAATAGCCCTGGTTTTCTGGGTACAGGCTGACCACTAAACATGGCAATGGCTCTCTCTTCATAAGCTTCTCTAGCAAGTTGACATTGCTTCGAAGGCCCTCTGCTTCTGGCTCCTTTTCACACTCCTCCACATAAATGTCATACAGTTTTTCCTGAAGAGATTTTTCCCCACAAGACGCGGGTTTCAGTGGAGGGGGTTGCTGCTGAACAGTCTCATCGCCCCCCTCCAAAGTGTCCTGTAAAGTTTGTTCCATCCTAATAGAAAATCGGGGCCCTTAAAGAAAAACAAAAAGTATTGGTGAACAGGTAGAAATCATGGCAGTTCTATCAACGGTGAGGCAAAACTTTACAACTCTGTGTAGGAGTGTACACTTTGAATTTAATACGGACCCCAAGAAACCTGCCTCCCGTTGGTGTGATGCAGATGCTGCCAATTCCTGTACTGTATTCTGGGGGATTAGATTCTGGGGGATTAGGCATGGGCAAACCAGTCTGGGCTGCACCGAGAGACCCTGACTTAACTGCGAAGACAAGCCAAAGGAACCAAGAGCTACATTTAAATTTGCAAGTTTTTTTTTTCAGGACAGGGTTTCTTTGTGTAACAACTCTAACTATCCTGGAACTAGCTCTTGTAGACCAGGTAGACCAGGCTGGCCTTGAACTCAACAGAGAATCGCCTACTTCTGCCTTCTGAGTGCTGGGGTTAAAGGGCGCCACCTCCACCCGGAAAAATTCCCCAAGTTTTTATTATGTACACAACTTTCTGCCTCCATTTATACCCACACGCCAGAGGAGGGCGCCAGATCTCTTTACAGATGGTTTGGAGCCACCATGTGGTTGCTGGGAATTGAACTCAGGACCTCTGGAAGAGCAGACAGTGCTCTTAACCACTGAGCCATCTCTCCAGCCCTTCCCCAAGTTTTTAAAAAAGCATTCGTACCTTTGGCACCCACTGTCAGTGTGTCGTCCTGGTGCGTTGTGGTGGAAAAGCTGTCCTGGACCAGGCTGTCCTCGAACTAACAGATTCGCCTACTTCTGCCTCCCGAGTGCTGGGGATAAAGGGCACCACCACTGCCTGGAAAAATTTTGCAAGTTTTTAAAAGCATCCATACCTTTGGCGCTCACTGCCAGTGTGTCAGCCTGGTGCGCTCTGTGCTGGTAAAGGTATCCTGGACTAGGCTGGCCTCGAACTAACAGATTCGCCTACTTCTGCCTCCCAAGTGCTGGGTTTCAAGGGCGCCACCACCGCCTGGAAAAATTTTGTAAGTTTTTAAAAAGCATCCATATCTTTGGCACTCACTGCCAGTGTGTCAGCCTGGTGCGCTCTGTGCTGGTAAAGGTATCCTGGACTAGGCTGGCCTCGAACTAACAGAGAATCTCCTACTTCTGCCTCCCGAGTGCTGGGGTTAAAGGGCGCCCCCACCACCCGAAAAAATTCTTCAAGTTTTTAAAAAGCATCCATACCTTTGGTGCTCACTGTCGGTGTGTTGTCCTGGTGCGCTGTGGTGGAAAAGCTGTCCTGGACCAGGCTGTCCTCGAACTAACAGATTCGCCTACTTCTGCCTCCCGAGTGCTGGGGATAAAGGGCACCACCACCGCCTGGAAAAATTTTGCAAGTTTTTAAAAGCATCCATACCTTTGGCGCTCACCGTCGGTGTGTCGGCCTGGTGCGCTCTGTACTGGAAAAAGAACAGGCTGGCCTCGAACTCACAGAGATTCACCTACTTCTGCCTCCCAAGTGCTGAGGTTAAAGGCGGGAGCCACCACCGCCAGGAAAAATTGTCCTAGTGTTTACAAAAGCGTCTGTACTTTTGGCGCTCGCTGCTCGCTGCCGGTGTGTCGGCCTGGGGCGCTCTGTGGTGGAAAAGCTGCCCTGGAGCAGGCTGGCCTCGGACTCACAGAGATTCGCCTGCCTCTGCCTCCCGAGGGCTGGGGTTAAAGGCGGGCAGGCGCCACCACCATCGGGAAATATGGCTCTCGCTGCCGTTGTGTCGGCCTGGGGCGCTCTGTGGTGGAAAAGCTGCCGGACTCACAGAGATTCGCCTGCCTCTGCCTCCCGAGGGCTGGGGTTAAAGGGCGCCACCTCAGCCCGGCAAATTTTGCAAGTTTTTAAAAGCATCCATACCTTTGGCGCTCTTCGTCGCTCACTGCAGGTGGGTCGGCCTGGTGCGCTCTGTGCTGCAAAATGGACGTGAAGGGCTGATGGGGCTGACGAGCGGCAAGCTTGCCGCGTCGTCTTCCCCTGTTGCCTTCTGCACGCTGAATGCCGCGCTCGGGCTCGCCCTCCTTATATAGCCTCGTGGGTAGGCGTGTCCCTTTTCAAACTTCCTTTCCAGGGCCCGCCCTGTTTCCGCAGGAGAGGCGGGAAGGTTTTGGGGGCTTGAGCGCGCGTAGCAAATTTTTTTGTTACAGTTTCGATATCCACCATTTCACACCCGAACAACTTGCAGAGTCATCGTGCACCATTTTATTTGTCTGGGTGGGCCCTTTAAGAACCAATCTGTGAGCCGGGCGGTGGTGGCACACGCCTTTAATCCCAGCACTCGGGAGGCAGGCGGATCTCTGTGAGTTCGAGGCCATCCTGGTCTACAAGAGCTAGTTCCAGGACAGGCTCCAAAGCCACAGAGAAACCCTGTCTCGAAAAACCAAAAAAAAAAAAAGAACCAATCTGTGGGAGGAAGAGGTAGACAGATCTCTGGTAGTTCGAGGCCAGCCTGGCATACATAACCAGTTTGAGGCCAGCTTGGCCGTACAAGTCACCTGAGGGTCTCTCTCTCTCTCTCTCTCTCTCTCTCTCTCTCTCTCTCTCTCTCTCTCTCTCTCTCTCTCCCTGCCTCCCTCCCTCCCCCCCCCTCTTTCCTCGAACCCAGAGATCCACCTGCATCTACCTCTGAGACTACAGGCATGCGCTGCTACCACCCTCCAGTGAGACTATGTCTGTAAAAAATAATGTGATTGCCCACATCTTTAATCCCAGCACTCGGGAGGCAAAGGCAGGCAGATCTCAGTGAGTTCGAGAACAGCCTGGTCTGCAAAGTGAGCTCCAGGACAGTCAGGACTGTTACACAGAGAAACCCTGTCTCGAAACAAACAAACAAACAAACAAATCTGTATTTGGAATCTATTGTCGCCATTGTTTAGGCTGCTTCTGATACCCATTTGGCATACCTAAGAAAGTCACTGTATGCTTGGTGTGAGTGATACAATTCTGCCGAGAGGGACCTTGGCAGCTGGTGGCTCTAAATCGTGGCAGGTGAGAACCCACGGCGGTGAGGGACAGACATGCCAGGTAGACAGCACTTAAGTGGAGAGTTTTATTGAGATAAAGGGACTGGGGGAAGGGAAGGGAGAGAGAAAGAGAGAGGGAGAGGAAGAGAGATGTAGAGAGAGAAAGGCGAAGAGGAGGAAGTGGGAGAGGCAGGCAGAGTTCCGCCTTTTAAAGGGACAGGGTACGGGCCTTCTAACAAGCAGGTGTGAGGCACCCTATAAGGTCCTCAGCGGGTGTGGCCATGTTCGCCCGGATGCTAAGAGTGAGTTATCACAAGGCTTCTTCCTATTCCTGCCCCAGGCTTTTCATATAGCTAGACACATAACATGGCATTCTTTCTTTTTCTTTTTTTCTTTTTTGGTTTTTCGAGACAGGGCTTCTCTGTGTAGTCCTGACTGTCCTGGAACTAGCTCTTGTACACCAGGCTGGCCTCAGAGAGGTCCGCCTGCCTCTGCTCCTGAGTGCTGGGATTCAAGGCGTGCGCCACCATCGCCCAGTAACGTGGCACTCTTTTTTTTCCGAGACAGAGTAACGTGGCGTTCTTATTCACAACTACTTAGCTTTTATTTTCCTATGTGTTTCTAGTTTTTCTTTTCTTTTTATTATTATTTTGTGTAGGGTGTTTTGCCCACGCGTTTGTTTTTGTACCACACATGTGTAATACCCTCGGAGGCCAGAAGAAGGCATCAGATCCCTGTGGGCCTGGAGTTCCAGAGGTTGTGAGTGGCCAGGTGGGTGCTGGAAATGGAACCCAGGTTCTCTGGAAGAGCAACCAGAGCTCGTAATTGCTGAGCCATCTCTCCAACCCCAGCTTTTCTCTTTATTTCTTTTTTCTTTTCTTTTCTTTTCTTTCTTTCTTTCTTTCTTTCTTTCTTTCTTTCTTTCTTTCTTTCTTTCTTTCTTTTTCTTTCTCGCTCTCTCTATTTTTTTATGTTGTTAGATTTCTTTGACTATTTATAGAATCTCATTTTCCAATCCTTTTGTTGCCTTGAAATTTGCCAGTTCTTTTTTGACAGATGTTTAGATTCTCTAATGTTTAGATTTACATACAGCAATGACACCAATATTCACTGTAATTGCCTATAACAACAAGAATCCAAGATAAGTTTGTGAAGTCCCAGAAGTAGGCAGATTTATAATAAATATATATATTTTTTGGTTTCTTTGCTTTGTTTTTGAGACAGAGTCTCACTGTACAGCCCTGGCTGGCCTGGAACTCAACATGTAGATCAGTCTGACCTCAAACTCACAGAGGTCTGTGTATCTCTGCCTAAGGAGTGCTGCACTATCATAACGGTTTTTTTAAAAAAAAAATCAGTGGCACACGGCTTTAATCCCAGCACTCTGGAGGCAGAGACAGAAGGATTTTTGTGAGTTCAAGAGCAGTCTGGTGGTATACAGAACTAGTTCCAGGACAGTCTCCAAAGCTACAGAGAAACCTTGTCTCAACCCCCCCCCAAAAAAAAATTCAGTAGGAATTGTGATTGTTATACATTATCATAGATACATTATATTTGGTTGGATTGAAAGTTCTTTGCCTGAGCACATTAGAGCTGACCATGCTCACTCTGTGTGTGTGTGTGTGCGCGCACACAGGAGAGCTGACTCTGCCTCCCCTCGTATGCCCCCTTCAGTAATCAGGAGATAGGGCCCTGCACCTTGCTTGGGCAAAACAGTAGAGCTGGCTTTGGTGGTGTGATTGTGGGTGACCAGATCTGAGGATCTGAGAGCAGGAGAACTGGCCCCATTCCTTGCTGCAGGATGCATTGGGTGAGCTGGCCAAGGCAGTGCTGGAGAGCTTACCCAGGGAAAACTGGCAGATTGACTATCACCCAGGCCCAGAACCAGGGCTATGAATTACCTCACCCCAACATTTACCTGAATTGCTGGAGTATGTAAAGGGACCAGACCTGTTGATCCAAAGATACAGGACCTCCATGACACAGGACAACAGAATATGCAAGAGGAGTCCCAGTGGGGCCCAGT